CTGCCATCTTAAAAGCTCTATCCCAGTTTCTCTGCGTATAACCCCTAGCGAGAGGGGCGTGCTGCTTCCGCTCCTCAGCCCAACTGTGATATTCCGCCTGGGTCTCGACATTGCGTCTTTGGACCGTTGTAGTCTTCACACATACCTCTGTGCTGGGTAGATACTATCCCAGGAGAAAGAAGGCGAAGAACAGATAAATTGTAGATAAGAGGAAAGAAAAAGAATAAAAGTCGAAGAACAGAGTTAGATTAAGAAATGAAGTAGACACCCTAGCCCTTAGAAACTATAGCGTTCGGGGTCCGAAGATGTTACAAGCAGGATCAGAGGACAAATAGAAATATTATAGAAATGTAGGATAGGTAAGCTGGAAGGAGTGCTACAATAGTTTGGTGACCTTTAGCCATTACCCGGAGTCACCGCGAGGAGCGGTCCACTAGCTGGCTCCCATAAATGTCCCTATGTACAATATTTTATGCAGCAATAGTGCGACAAAATGGCACTTACTCTGATAGCTGCAAATGATTGTTAACCACCCGTGTCCTCAATTTCTTCACACTTTTCCTATTCTAATTTAAACCCCGCCGACGTGAAAACTTGAACCTATTTCTCCGCGCCCAGAATGTTACCGTCGTAGACTTCCCACTTTGGCCTTGGGGTCGTGCGCTGGCCTCTGCGTCGACGCCGCTCGTCCCTGCTTCTGCGTCGTAAAGAGACGAGAATCGCCTCTGGGCTCTGCTGCTCCTCGCTACACTTCTCCGGTCTTCTCCCTAGTCGTACGTCCAGTTCAGTCTTCTTCCTCGTGGCGCCTGATAATCCCCAGCCTCGTCCTTCGTCGACCGTTCAAGCTGCCTCTGACCACGCCCAACGTTGCGAAATGTCTCTTTGCACTTCACCGAACACTCCGTCCAAAGTTTGCTCGCTCGTTGCTAACTTCTACTTACTAAAACCAGAGCTCCTCACAGCTTTCTCTCACAAACGTGTAACTTTTACTTCCCCGTGTCGCTAATTGAAAGGAATACTTGGCTGAATCTGCACTTATCTCGGCGACGAGCGACTAGAAACGTTCGTTCGACGCTGAATACTCATACTTACTAGATCGTTGCAAGCGCGAACAATATATAAGCTACGTGATAACGAACAGGTGCTTACTCGCGAGTGTGGCAAAAGATTGCTGCTCGGCGAAGCGGTGGCAAAGAGGGTTCCGCTTGAAAGGGTCCCAGCATATCTAATTCTCATAAGTTCTCAAAGCAGAGTAGTGACTTGCACACATCTGTTCTATACATGTAAATTTTGAAGCAGGAAGATTGTAAATTGAATTTTTTGGTTTCACGTGCAATGTAACTAGAAAGCCCAAATTTAGATATATATTAATTTTCCCAAGGAATTCCCAATGTAGTTTAGGGTAATATTTCAGAGTAATCAAATTTGAAGTAAATAAATGTGTTCATATCACATGAGTGGTGTGTTGTAAAGGTTTCTACTGTGTTTTTGATTATCTCTTGTAAAAATGTGATTTCTAGATTCTTTGTTTTTGTCATGACTGATGCGCACTAAAAGTTTATGGTAAATTATACGCTCGTTTGTGTGCAATTTGTGTGATTTATTGTGTAAGGTTTTCAAACTTTCTCCGGTCACCCTGAAGATCCTGCTCCCTAGATTTTTAAAGCTCGCTTCAACGAAGCAAAATCTCGATAAAACCCGCTTACGGTCTGGCCCGCTACCCTGAGGGGTAATTGTGGGTGTAGGTGGTTGGTAGTATATATATATATATATATATATATATATATATATATATATAATATATATATATATATATAATATATATATATAGAGAGAGAGATGAGAGAGAGAGAGAAGAGAGAGAGAGAAAGACAGACGAGTAGAGAGAGAGTCATAATTTTCCTGTTTCCTCCTTTTTATTTTTGCTTAGATAATTATACTGCAGTGATCAATTTTAATGTTTAATAGTTTGATTTGAAATTATAAAACTATTTTTTGTAATTGCAAAATGGTGCATATTATTTCCAGCGGTGCGGTTATATACATCATTTTTAAAAGACTATTTGTCGGTTTTTCAGTATAATTTTATATCAATGTTATGATATTGATTTAGAGGCAGATTATTTGTATAAAAGTGACATATCAAGCTAAAGCTGATAAAATGATATACTGCATCAGATAATTCTGACGTCGCCCTCTCATGAAATACGGAGTTGCATGTTGGGATCCATACAGAAAGGCGCACGCGGAAAACCTCTAGATAGAATAAGAGGAAAATGCGAATAAAGTTTACCTCATAGAAGTATGGCAACAAAAATCATAGGAATCCTCTAGAAACGAGAAGAACAAAGGCGAGGCTTGCGCTCTTATAAATCGTACGTAGGCTAACTAGCTGGAAGGAAATTCAGATTAGAATTAGAAAAACCAAAAATTATTTCGGCCGAAGCGATCACACCCACAAAATTCGAGCAAGGAAACCAAAATTCAGAATCTTGAGAAGTTTTCCTTTGTAACAGGAACCAATTAGGAGAACTGGGAACAGTTTAACTGCAGCAGTTTTCAAAAGCTTTTCCTCTCAGTGCCGAAGTTTTAAGAAACAAATTATAGCCAAAATATTAAATAAGTATGGCTGTGTAGTGCGGTGAAGTGCTGTGAAGTGCTGGTCAGTGTGTAATTCAAAGGTAATTCAAAGCAAAAAAATGTAGTGTAGTGAAGTGAAGTGAAGTGCGGTGAACGTGATAATTGCACTTTCAATCTTGCTTTTCGTCCTTGTACGTGTAATATTGTTATTATTATCATTAATATGTTATTATTAATTGTTGTTATTGATTATTATATTATTAACTTATAATGTAAGTGGTTGTAATTTTAGCATTTATTGCATTACACTGCACTGGGTCATACCCAATTGCAGTTCTAATAAAATGTATTGTACATTGAATGCTGTGGAAAAGAAGAGCCAATCTTTTTAAAGCTATAGAAAATGAAAAATCTGAGAATTGCAGCCTAAATCAGAAGAAATCTGTGCCAATTGTTTATTTATTTAAAAGTTAGAAATTCCAACCCAAAAGAAGATTGCCTAAGATTTGGGGTAACAAGCCAAATTCAATGTTATATCTTTCATAAATTTTCATTTTCATAAAAGATTTTTTTGTAAACCAATGCAAATTCCCTCTTTAATTGCAAGAACACTAAGCAATATTTAACTGGTAATGTTATTATAACAAGGCGAATCAACTTAACCCCAACATAAAACTAGTGTAATTTAATACATTTCTTTCATTTTCCTTAGTTTTCAAAGACTTACACAAAATTGTCAACTGACCAATGATTGATATTGTATCAAAATTACAATTCTAATTTGGCTAAAAAAAGCCACCAAAAATTAAGGCAGGATGATTTCCAATCAATGATTTTAGTTTTAAAATTTGCCTATTTTTAATATCTGAAAATATTTGAAAAAAGAAGTTATACAGATAAGACTTAAATCAATTACACAGTTTATATAAAAGAATATATTATATTTCTTATAAACTTTTTCATGTAATTGAACACATTTTGAGAAAAGAAATACAATGTAATCATATATAAAATGAACATGCTTATGGAAATGACAATTAATAATTTGTAAAGTTATTTCTAATGGGACTTAAATGATATAAAATAGTTTTACCCAGCATTTCATTGTCTAGATAAATACTAATTACGAAATAGTACATACACACTTGAGCTAGTTTCAAGAAAAACGTGTTAAAGCTTCAAAGCATATTTGTAATTCGTAGATTTGAAGTAAAATGTTTGCTAATAAAGTACATCTTCAGAAGATGAGGCATTAATTAAAAATGGAATTTTATTGATACTTAAAAAGAATAAAATTTGTTTAAAAACTAATTGAAAATGGGTAGTAAAATCTTATAAATTTTAAACCTTTTTTCCTTGTGTATATTGATAAAAATACCATTTAAGTGGACAGGACAAGGACAATATTAAATACGAACTTAATAATTTCAAAAACTGTCTAACTTTGCTGTAAGTTTTTTTATGAAAATCAATGTTGTTTTCAACAGTAAGAGGTTTTTTTGCATTCAGGTATCTTACAGCCAAGAATGTAAAACTTTTGAACAAAGAATGCTTTTTTTCTGAAACCATCGCCCGTGGTGTCACAAGCTTATCGATAATGTGAACAACATAGAAGTAATTATGCAGGACACTATACAGTACTTAAATTAAAGAATTTTTGTGGGTTAGGACGGAATTGCAAGCTAGACCCCTCAAATATATAGGTATTCCTATTAAGAAAAAAAATAAATTGAAACAAACAATAATGTAAATGTTAATTTAAAACTTCAAAATGTTTTCATAAACTTTTTTCTGCTTTTAAAGTAATTAAAGATAAAGAAATCACTTTACAATTTTAAAGTTTAAGTAAAAACTATTTATTACGAATATTTTAAAAAGTTAATCCGAATCATAAGAAAAGCAATAATACCATGGAATATGTCCCTAGCGAATGCGCCAACACCATTTCGCACAACTTTTACTTTGAAAATGCGCGCCAAACACGCAAACAGCTGTGCTTAGGGCAAGGTTCACGACTGAGAAAAACAATTCCTCGATGCCTCTAAAATTGAGTGAACCGCAGGGCCGCGCAACCTCTCCATCAAAATCGGGGACAAGCTCGAGGTTGCTACTATAGGAAAGCGCTAGTGTCGACCGAGTGCAGCTGCAGGTTAGGCCTCGCCAAACGTTCCCACAACAAATCTGGCTAAGTTGTGAGAAAACAAGAAGTGTCTTCTAAATATTACAATTATTCATAATCCTCTACTTGTAGGAACCTCTGAAGAAAGACGGAACGTAGACGTTATCTTTGTAAGCATTATGGTCCTGCTTGCGACCGGAAGCTTCACGCAGCAGTCAAAGGCACGTTTAAAGTATCGTTGGCAGCAGTTCCTGTAAAGGTGTGCCAGCAGAGAGCGCGCCATCCCCGCCACGCGTAATGGTGGTAATGGTCTCCACCAGTTATGTGGTGTTATAGGGCCCTGGATATATCCAC